CCCCCCCCCCCCGGCTGCCAGCAAGTTCAAAGCTAAATTTGGTATCCAAATGCACCACTTTCCTTAGCCCAGTTTTGTCACAACTATTTTTCTTTCATTTGTTGCATAAGTCCTATTTACTTTTCTTTCCACAAAATCTTATGTGGTTTTTAAATTTTAAAGTCATATGCTTTTTAATGTTTTTTTCCCCCAGGGATTTATCATTATTTTAATAACCGCTATGTATAAATTTCCTTTTCAGAAGTGGCAAGATGGCCAGGTGCAATGGCTCACACCTGTAATCCCAACACTGTGGGGAGGTTGAGGCGGGTGGGTTGTTTGAGCCCAGGAATTCAAGACCAGCCTGGGCAACATCATGAAACCCCATTTCTACTAAAAATACAAAAAAATAGCAAGGCATGGTGGCCCGCACCTGTAGTCCCAGCTACTTGAGAAAATGAGGTAGGAGGATCAGCGTCCAAGAGGTCGAGACTGCAGTGATCCAAGATCACGCTACTATGTAGTCTTAACTGGGCAACCAAGACCCCATCTCCAAAAAAAAAAAAAAAAAAGAAAAGAAAAGAAAAGAAAAAAAGGCAAGATATAAATACTATATACAGCAACAGCATTAGTACCAATAATTATTCCACAATACTCCTTTACATACATATACAATTTTTTAAATCAATTACTACAGATCCATATAAAGAAGCACAGGACTTTAGAAGTAAAAAGGCCATGTGAAATTATCTAGTCCAACTTCATCTTAAAAAAAAAAAAATTAGTTGCATTAAATTCTCATCTTCCTGTTGCCATTTACTAAGCAACCAGACAAGTATACACCAATGGTCAAATGCTCCTTTTGAAATGTAAGCTAAATCATGTGACTACTCTGTTCAAAACCCTTAGTGCTTTCCCATCTCATATAAACCAGTCTTTACCATATCCTACAAGATTCATCATGGCTTACTCCCCTTCTTCCTCTCCAATCTCATCTCCTCCCACTCTTTCCATGGCTCACCCTTCTCCAGTCACACTCATCTCCCACTGGTCCCTCTAACATGTCAACATGCCCTTTTCTACCTCAGACACTCTTCGACCAGACAAATTAGCACACGTTGCCCCTCACCATGTTATGGTCTTTGAGTCACTTTATCAGAGAATTCTTCTCTGATCACCCTATTTGATGTGACTCAATTAGGGGACGCCCAAATCATTCCTCCTTGTAATTTGTGTACTATTCAATATATATGTGCACCACAGGATTCTTTCTTGTACTTACTATGTGTCAAAATTTTAAAAATAGCTGTCACCTACCTCCTACAGAATAAATGTATCCTGCCAGGAATGTAGGTTAAGTTTACCTTTTTGAGGATTCCTTATTTTTCAATGTATAGTTCCATACAATAAAAGAGCTCTTTCAAAGGCTTATTTCTATAAAGCCTGGAGGTATACTAACAGGGACTAATGAGTTCATATAATCGAAAGTATCACATTTAGAGCTGTGAAAAGAGGGTACTAAGTTCAGCTCTGAAGTACATATTTACGGACCAAATTTATTTAAATTTGTTTAGTTTTAAAATCATTTCTGACTTCTGAATATTTTAGGAGGCAGTCTCCATTCTAGGAAAGCTGGGGAAAGTCTAGCTTCTCAAGTATTGTTTTATCCCATGCCTACTGCATTAGAATGTATGGGGTAACATCACAGAAATAGAAATTTTTAACAAGATTCCTGTTTTTTTTTTTTTTAATGCACAATTAAGATTAAGATCAGCAGCTCTGCTGTAAACTACTACTTAATTCAGAAGGAGGACGCTTTGTAATACTTTTATTTTTTGAAACAGAGTTTCACTCTTGTTGCCCAGGTTAGAGTGCAATGGCACGATCTAAGATCACCGCAACCTCTGCCTCCCAGGTTCAAGCGATTCTCCTTCCTTGGCCTCCTGAGTAGCTGAGATTACAGGCATCCACCACCACACCCAGCTAATTTTGTGTAATACTTTTTATTCTTGCCAAATAGGGAACTTCTCCATTTTTCCAGTGTCGAGCTTTAAGATCACTAAAATATTTTAAAAAGGCAGAGCGCAAACTGTATTAATATCACAAACAGTAAAGATGGTGGGGATTTCCTGGGAAATCTTGTTTCCAAAGACCCATGTAAGACAACACTCTCCAGGGAAGACCAGAGGAATTTGCACATAAGAGTACAGCTAAGCCTTGATTGAAGACTTCCTGGCCAACAATAAGGACAACCGTGCCACCCTCCAATGTGTGTGCCAATGGTTGCGAGCCAGTCTGAGCCACTGGCTCCAATTAGTTGTTGTATCTAATTAGCTTGCATATGAATGGAAACAATAATATTGAGAAAATTTAAAAATCTCTCATCAAAATTTCATATTTAAATTCCTTGCATCAATTCATTTACAATCATTTGGCAGATAATTTGCCCTTTTGCATGCCTAAATACGAATTGTCTGCCTACTATTCTGTCTTGATACTTTGGCAAAATATAAATACGCATTTACTTTTAACTGTTTTCGGCACATTCAAGACAAACTATACAGAGAAAATTATATGCAATTTTATCCCCCACAGCAACTGATAAAATCTACTGAATGTTCATTCAATGGACATTTCCTGATGCCCATTCTGAGAGGGGGCCTTGCTTGTGTTAGAAACTCCGTAAATGTTTGCCTGTTTGGTTTGCCTTTTCAAAATACTGACTTTTCCCTATAACTAGAGTTTCCTATTATCAAATATAAAAATTCATGACTGAGAATTCTCATCTTTTCACTAAACAGTAAAATCTTCATCAAAAATTTTGTTACATTCTCAAGAGAAATCAACATCTACTTTAGCAAATAAGATCCAGGGAGAAAGGGGCAAGGGCATAACTATGAGTCCTGTCCTCAGTTTAAATAGCACATGTACAAAAAGACTATTGAGATTAAGGCATTTTAGGCCGAGCACGGTGGCTCAAGCCTATAATCCCAGCACTTTGGGAGACCAAGGTGGGCAGGTCACTTGAGGTCAGGAGTTCGAGACCAGACTGGCCAACACGGTGAAACCTCGTCTCTCCTAAAAATACAAAAATCAGCCTCGCATGGTGGTAGACATCTGTAATCTCAGCTACTCAGGAGGTTGGGGCAGCAGAATCTCTTGAACCTGGGAGGCGGAAGTTGCAGTAAGCCAAGGTTGCGCTGCAGTACTCAGCCTGGGCAACAGAGTCTTGCTCTGTCACCAAAAAGAATAAAAAAAAAAAAAAAAAAAAAAAAAAAAAGAGAGAGAGAGAGAGAGAATGATTTTAGCTAAATGAATCTACAGATTCCACTCAACTTAAAATGGTAAAAATGGTGTTACATCCCAATAAACCCATCATAAACTGAATATAACCAAAGTCAAAAATGCATTTAATATACCTAACCTACTGAACATCACAGTTTTAGCCTAGCCTATCTTAAACATACTTGGAACACTTACATCAGCCTATAGTTGGGGAAAATATAGCATAATCTAACACAAAGCCTATTTTAAATAAAACAGTGAACATTTCCTGTAACTTACTGAACACCGCACTGAAGTACAGTTGCTACTGAATGTTTATCACTTTTGCACCATCATAAAGTCAAAAAAATTTAAGTCTAACCATCGTAAATCAGGTACCAATTGTATTTTATGGATTCAAAGATCACACAGAGGTAGAAGGTTCTTTTTAGAAATTACCTAATGTAATCTTTCATTTTGCAAATTAGGAAATTTGCTTGTCAAGACTACTGGCATACCTAGTATTTCTTTTCTTTTTTATTGTAGCAAATTATCCAGAAATGTATTGATTTTCATATAAGATCATACACAAAAAGAAAACATTTGACGTCCTCAGTATTTATATATTATGACTGCTGTTCAATGTTTATGGTAATAAGACATAAGTACTTATTGTATACTACATATACAGCAGTATACTTATTGTATACTACATATACTACTTATTGTAATACTACATAATTGTTAAACAAGAAATTAGCATACTCCTATTATTCTATAATTGAGATTGACAGAAATTTAGAATGACATTTCATGAAATCAGAACCCTGAAAAGCTTAATCTTCACAAACTCCTAGACAACACCAATTCCTAATTTATGCACAGAAGTTTTGTGTGAACCTCATGAGCACTTTTTCAGATCTATAAAAGGTTTCACTAGTCTATAAAATTTTGTCAAGCCTTTGCTTTGCAAAAGGGAAAAAAAGAACTAGTCATATACCTTCACTAAAAGAATTAGAAAAAGCAATTCCAGAATAACATCCCAAGTGACAATACTAATTACAGCCACAAAGAAACCCACCTGTAAGTACAATAAATCTTTCTGTATTGGCTTATACAAATACTTTTCCTAGTTAAAAGGCTGCTTAAGGAGTTTCACATTTAAGGAGTTTTCAAAATAATTTTTGAAAAATTTTGAAAACAGAGAATTGGAACCCTCTCCTCTTTTTTAAAAGATTGCAGTTGGCTGGGTGCAGTGATCCACACCTGTAATCTCAGCGCTTTGGGAAGCCAAAGCGGGGGATCACGTTGAGATCAGGAGTTCGAGACCAGGCTGGCCAAAATAATGAAACTCCGTCTCTACTAAAAATACAAAATTAGCTGGGCTTGGTGGCAGATGCCTGTAATCCTTAGGAGGCTGAGGCAGGAGAATCACTTGAATCCCAGAGGCGGAGGCTGCGGTGAGCCGAGATTGCGCCAATGTGCTCCAGCCTACGCAAGAAAGCAAGACTCCATCTCAAAAAATAAATAATAAAAATAAAAGATTATAGTTTACAAAGTATATAAGTCAAAATGAGGCAGAAAGTTATATTTGGGAGTCTCGAAGAATCAACCTCTACAATCTGAACATGAATTCAGAAAAATCAGGTTTAAGATATTTGTTCTTTCCCCTCGTCACTCCCAGTGTGTCTATATAACTCATGGCCCAAACCAGAACATTTGAAAGTGAAAGGGGTGATATTAATAATTATGCCAGGATAAGAGAGGTCAGGCTACAAGGGCTCCCTAGTTATTTTTATACTTCTCTCTCCTCTACTAGACTGGAAGCTCAGTGATATGGGAGGGGGGTGTTTAGAAAATTATAATATTTCTCACAGTAGCACATTCTCTTACACAAACTAAGCAATCAAGCCTTACACGTTGAAAAATGAAACAAATACACTGGAGAGGACTTCCACAACTACTTAGCAAAGTGTAAACTTTCTGACTCTTGGACAAAGAGTAAGTGTGTAAGTCTATGAATTTAGACTTTAAAACTCAAGAATGAGAATGAAAAGTACTTATACTATCCCATTAAATATATCCTAATGTTTTGTGTATACTAAAGGATCTAAAAGCGTTGAAATGCTAACAGTAAAATTTTAAGAGTCATCACTAGTCAAGAAAAAAGCTTCTCAGCTTCTGAAAGTATGGTATACTACTGGCAAGTGAATAATAATAATGTAGGAATATATTTCTCCTCCAGCCCAGCATCAGATTAGTATGTAAATTGTGAAAAGAGTACATAAATTGAATGTTTTTAATTTGCTCTTCAATTATTTCATTAATATTTACTGTAAGAAACACATTCTGTTATTAAATCTAAATCCCTGTCCCAAAGGAAAATACGCAATAGCTTTATTGTGGCTACCTCAATTCTTAAAAGAGTAAAATAACCTAATAATTGTTTCTTACTAATCAAAATTAATGTACACCTAAAAGATTCAAAACTGCTAAAGTTTCCTGATACTACATAAGGATCTACATTATGTACTGCTTCTCATGAACTTCGTATCAGTAGGTCTAGTTTTCATTAGTACTAGTCCTGGTTGGTGGCAGAAACCAATTGGTGTAGTTAAAATATTTATAGTTTCATTTCAGTTCCACTGTGGTTTGTTGAACAGACATAAAACCACAATCTTTATCATATCTGTCACTTCCTGTAATTCACAACTGAACCCAATTCCACTATTCATTATATAATACACAATTTAACAAAATACCATAGATAAATAGAATCCATTTAGGTCTTTAAAAAAAAAAATTCTTTTCTCCAAGAGGTGCGAAAAGATCTTGAAAATCTGGAGGCATTTCCCAAGTGCTTTTCTTTCCTGCAACTTTTCTCAATTATACCTAAGTCATCACTATCCGTGATAACAGGATGCAAAAAATAAGGATGCAGCACAAAAAACCAAACTTTATTTTTTATAGTTCTTCACACCTAAAATTTAAGGAAACAGCTAACAAATAATAAAATGGAGGGATGTGAACTTCATTTCCTATTTCACTTTCTGGTATTGCAGCTAATAAACAAGGAAATGGTCTGCAGGTAGCTGGTAGAAGAAAGAAAAGAAAAGCACAGAATATGTGAACTAGTTTACTAGACACTAATTACACCTTCCTGGGTGCCTCCCTTTTAAATTCCCTTCATAATTCATAAGGAATTTGGTCCTTAAATTCACTTCCGGGATATGCAAGAGTTTAGCCAGGATTTTTTATTTTTAAACAAATTTAGAAAAATATGACAGACTTCAAGTGACAAACTTCATTTTTATAAAAAAATTAATTTCCTGAATAATTTGTATTTTATAAAATCATAGATTAAACTAATACAATATTACAACGAACTGCTTCATCCAGGTCCCAAATAATCATAAGCGATTAAGTGGAACAGGAATAAACTGGCTAAGCACCAAATGAATATTTCAGAATATTTATGAGCAAAACCCAGCAAACATCTTATAGTAAGCAGGCAAACAAATTTTTATCATTGCAGTTATTCCAGAAATAGGGAGTACAAATGTTTGGCTTACACAGTTTACAGACGCATATCAAGCATGTACCATTTATTCATCCATTTACTTTAAAAACATTTACTGAGTTCCACTATAGTTAATTCAAGGCCATGGAGAAGTGAAGAGATATATCACAATTTTCACCTTCAAGGAGCTCAATAATCAATCATGACACGAAGAAACAATACTTGTACCAAGAGAGGCAAGTACGAAAGTGCTATGAGAAAGCACAGGGGAATAAGAGATTTCTGTAACCTGTGAAAAACGGCAGCCTTCACAGAGAAGGTGACATTGAACTAAACGTAAAATAAGGACAGGAGTTTGCTAAAAGGGAAAAAAAGGAATCCTGGCATTCGGAGAATGCCAACTTACACAAGTTGAGTATCCCTTATCTGAAATGCTTAACCCTGGAAGTGTTTTGGATTTTTTATTTTTTTCAGATATTGAAATATGTGCATTATTTATATCTACCTAGTGAGCATCCAAAATCCAAAAATCCAGTTGAGAACTGAAAGGACACTTCCTTTCAGTGTAATGTTGGTGCTGAGAAAGTTTTGAATTACAAAGTGTTTTGAATTTTCAAATTTGGTACCCTTACCCTGTATTGCTTCCACCTGAGCTAGCCTTGGGATCATGCCAAATGACCCAAATTGTTCTAAAATTCTCTAGAATAAAAATCATCAAGACTTTTGTATTCCCCAGAAGAAACAAGATAGTAGACATTACCATGACTAACCAGTGACATAAAAATAAATGGGTAACTACAAAAGCAAATTATTAAAGTCATAAAATAAAGGCATTTTACTTAAACACCAAATCTGATTCTTCATCAGCAAAGTGGAAATAATCAAAGCTGTCCAACCTACCTTCATGAGGTGGTTGTGAGGAACAAATATAGTAACATATAGTCAGCTTCTTTATCAACAATACAGCACAAAACAAAGCAAATATTTAAACCTAATAAATCTAGATAATTCCTAATTCATGGATTCAAAAAATTAAGTGACATATACAGATTTTATATATTTATATTAATACTATTGACAAGTTATTTTATGTTTTACTGAACTACATATGTTGTGAAAGGAGACCAAAAAATGCTTGTCTAACAGAAATTTACACACACACAAGCGCGCACACAAACACACACACACACACACACACACACACACACACACACACACGTAAAATCCTTAGGACTCTATAGCTAAGTTAAGGGTAACATCAATTGTTATAGATGCCAAATTA